GCTGACCCCAAGGGTTGGTCGTCTCTCCGGGTGGCAGGCACAGCTCCAGGCAGTGGCGGGCGCGCTGTCATGTGCTATGCATTGCCTAGCTTGGAAGAGATAGGGCAAGCAGAGGGCTGACCTTCTCAGACAGCAAAAGTTCAAGTTGTATTTATACAGGTCTTGCTGTAACTTAGTCTTAACCGTCCAACAGAAAAGCGTAACCACGAGGTGTGAAGAGTAATACCATATTCATATGCGCAGCTGTGAGGGGCTCAAGCCACTAACATCCTCTGGCAATTACCAGCTGTGCTGATAGCTCGCCACTATTACAGACTATCAGGCTATATAATAGGGTTACATTGCTGAGTTCAAGTACCTACAGTCTTTGGACTGGCTCCAAGCATGAGAAGGTTCTCTAAACAGCTTCTCCAACTGCAATAGAACACCCACCTCTGACACAACAAAACAAAAGAGGGGGGTATGTTGGACACCACAGAAGCTGGCAATTCGGTCAAATGTGTGCAGGCAGGACTAGGCCTCAGTGTCTAGAGCAGGCAAGCCACCTCACGCCTGAGGGAAGCATCCTGACTGGTTACTGTTGGCTATTAGTCACCAGGCAACTTTGGGACATGTGTTACTAACTTTGCAGAGGTATAAATAAACATCCATATTCTTGGGGAGGGGTTGTCTCGCCAGCCAGGTCAGCTCTTGTCTTCTTGTGTATCTGTCCTTCACTCCTGCCGCTGTTTCTCCCCCAGGTACGGCGGACCACACTGAGAGACCGGTAGACCCCTGCAAATCTGTGCACTGATTTAGTAATCTCGCACCCTCAACCCCTGTCCCACACGCTCTAGATCAAGCCGCCTGGAGAAGCCCCCCTTAAGACCGCAGGAGGTTTTGCCAGGGACATCTAGACATCGGCCATCACAGGGAACGTTCCAAGGGTTCAGTTTCTGGCCTCCAGGTGGCCTTATTTTGAGACCCCCTAAAATGGGATCCATGTGCAGCAGAAGCCAGTCATTCCCCAAAAGTCCTCAGTGCTGTTCAGACTCTGAACATGAAGAGGGAAACACATGCCCCCCGCAAAAAAAAAAAAAAAACAAAACTAGAGAGAGCTGGTTTTTTGATTGAGAAATCTGACCTTACAGTGGGACACTCCATAATGCCTCTTTGCTGAACAACGGAGAGTCTTAACAGTATTTTGGCCGGGTAGCTCCTCACGGGGACTAGGGAGGCCGTCAGCAGGCCGGATGGCCCTCGCTTCTCACGCTTCCCTCTCTGGGTCTTGCGCTGAGGCCCATGGTGGGGGCATCATCTCAATGGCGATGCAAGGTGCTCCAGGTACCGTGTTGGCGGAGCCCAGCTCGGAATCCTCCCGCGCAAACGCAAGCAAGTCCAGTACTGAGAGTGGTGGTCCACGGGAGCAGGAAAGGAAGAGGCGGCGGGGACCCAGAACAGAGAAGCACTCACGTCTCCGGGATCCGTGCAGAGGGGGCGTGTGGTCCGCCAGCAGGGCACTGAGGCTACCGAGGCAGAGTGCTGAGGCAAGAGGCCACACAGGCTGTGGGGGTTGTGTGAGCTTCTGTCAGCCTGGGAAAGGTGGGATTTTGGATCCCACTGCCAGGGACAGCTGATCCAGGACCTAGTTTTGAGCTCTTAGCGAGGGTGTGGTGGTGCAAGCCTATAAACCTAGTACTCAAGAGGCAGAGGCAGGAGGATCTCTGTGAGTTGGAGGTCAGCCTGGAGATACACAGTCCAAGGCCAACCTGAACTACATAGCAAGACCCTGGCTCAATAAATAAATAAATAGGGGCTGGAGAGATGGCTCAGTGGTCTAAAGCACCTACTT